ACTTGGGTGGCAAAGACAGGAGGATCATGGCCCAAGGCAGGCCTGGGGAAAAAGCACAAGACCCTATCTGAAAAATACACTAAAGCCAAAAGGGTTGGAGATGTGGCTGAAGTGACAGAGTGTTTTTGCCTAGTATATGCAAGGCCCTAAATTCAAACCTCAGTCCTAGACAGGGACCATGGACCCTGTGGCTCAAACCTGGTTCAGACCCTTGTCTTGGAAATGTTAGAGATCCAGGAAAATGATCGGGAATCTTACAACTTTGAGCTTCTATGGTGTCAGATCCAACTGGCATTGAGGGAAAGAGAGGGGTACCTGGGGGCTGTCAGCACCCAGGTTGATGCTGGGGTGAGGAGCAGAATGAAGAGTGCCCAAGACCAGACTGGCTATTCTCACCATCCACACACATACTCCTTGTCCTGGTGGGATGTCAGATCCTAGATTCTGCCAGGTTTTATGGTGACTCGTGGCCTTGGAAATGTACAGTCAGAGACTCAGAGGTGTGGTCTGGCTCTCCAGCCCCCAGCAGCTTATATGGTTGGTACCTATGGGTGGCTGAGCTCACGGGAGGTGGTCAGGGACTTGGGAAATGAGATCTAAGAAGTGGGAGCTATCGAGGGAGCTACAACCTACCAATTGCTACTCATGCCTGTCATCCTAGCTACTCAAGAGACTGAGATCTGAGGATCATGGTTCAAAACCAGGCCAGGCAGGAAAGTCTCTGAGACTCTCCAGTTAACCACCAGAAAACTGGTAGTGGAGCTGCTAACTTTGACCACAAAAGCTCAGGGATGGTGCCCGGGCCCTGAGTTCAAGAAACACACACACACACACACACACACACGAGTAGGAAGGCTCAAGAACAACCTGAAATGCTTGGGGACAAACATCTTTAAGTACAGGACCTTGATGAGGGTTTTCCCAATACAACGGGATGAATTTAAGAGTTTTCTTCATTTTGTTGTTGGTGGTGGTCCTGGGGTTCAAACTCTGGGCCTGGGTGCTGTCCCTGAGCTCCTTTTAGCTCAAGGCTGGTGCTCTACCACTTGAGCCACAGCACCACTTCCAGCTTTTTTCTGTGCTTGAGCGAAGATAAGAGTCTCATGGACTTTCCTGCCCTGGCTGGCTTTGAACTGCGATCCTCAGATCTCAGCCTCCTGAATAGCTAGGATAACATGTGTGAGCTACCAGCGCATGGCAGGAGTTTTATTTGCATTTTGAGAATTTTCTCTGTGGAGGTGGGGGTGGGGAAGAGAAGAGGCCAGAAAGGCAGCTTACCGGATGTCAGGGGTAAGTACTTGAAAAATCTTTTCCTGTGAGAACTTGCGAACATAGGCTGCTGGAGGTGAATGCCAATGTGGCAAGAATTCAGGGTATAAAATGTGAGACTTCAAAGGATTTTCTTGTGGATCTCTTCTGGCTTCTACTCAGGAGAACCCCTGGGGTACACTTCACACTCCCCAGCCCTCTGGATACAACAACAAATTCTGTGTGAGAATTTCCTCTTCAGCTTCTGGCCCCAAGGTTAAGATTGGATCCCTTCTTCCTTCTCTACTTGCTTCCTACTTGCTCTTGGTGCCTCAGTTTCCCTCTTCTGCTCCTGTCTCCCAGCTGGAATTCCCTAAGGATCCCTTTCTCTCAGATCCCAGTGCAGAGGACCCCCTCCAGGCTGCTGCAAAGCCCCCTCAAACCCTTTGCTCCCTTTTCTGGCCCCTCCTCATCCAGTGGTGGCCTCTGACAGTCATGTGGGTTCTTGTGCGAGCCCATCTCTAGGTTCCTGACTCACTTTCCCCTCTAGTCCCAAATCTTCCTAAAGTCAAACCTGGCCCTCCTCTGCACAGGAATTCCCAAGGATTCCCCAGGGCTTCAGGAACTGACTCTGAGTTCATCAGCTTAGCATTTCCAAGCCCTTGTTTTCCTCCTAGACCATCTCCACCTCCATCTGGAAGGAACTCCTAACTACTCCCAGAAGGCCAAGGGACCATCTTGTCTTCCTTCCCGAGCTCTCATTTATCCATCCAAGGACATAAGGGCAAGCCACAAATGAGGCTGTGGAATGAAAACTGAGTTTCTTTCTATCTTTTCTTTCTTTTCCTTCCTTCCTTCCTTTTTCGTTTCTTCTGTGGGGCTTGAACTCAGGGCCTCATGCTTTTGCTTGGCTTTTTCACTTAAGGCTGGGTATTCTACCATTTGAGCCACACCTCCACTTTCAGATTTTGGCTGGTTAATTGGAACTAAGACTCTCACAGTTTCTTTGTTTTTTTGGGGGGGTGGTTGGAGGGGGTCCGGTCGTGGGGCCTGAACTCTGGGCCTGGGCGCTGTCCCTCAGCTCTTCAGCTCAAGGCTAGCGCTCTACCACTTAAGCCACAGCGCCACTTCCGGCTCTTTTCTTTTTGCTTATGTGGTGCTGAGGAATCAAACCCA